ACTTGGGGCCTCCTGGGGTGCTCCAGGGCCGTCTTAGAGGCCATCTTGGGCGTCTTGGAGGCCTCTTGGGTCGTCTTTGTGCCCTCTTGGGGCCGTCTTGGGGGCCTCTTGGCACCTTGGAGGCCTCTCGGGCGCTGTGGGGGCGATCTTCGGGGCCTCTTGGGCCGTCTTGGGTCGTCGGAAAGCCGAAAAGGAGCAAATGCGAAAACCTTCAAAAACCAAAGAAAGATCAGTGAATTTAGCCTCATCGGGCCCTCCTGGAGGACCTCTTGGAGGCCTCTTGGGCCGTCTTGGAGGCCTCTTGGGCACCTCTTGGGTCGTCTTGGGCCGTCTTGGAGGTTTCTTGGGCGGACTTGGAGGCATCTCCTCCTCTCCTGGGCCGTCTTGGAGGCCATCTTGGACCATCTTGGAAGCCATCTTGGGCCAACGTGGCCATCTTGGAGGCCATCTTGAGCCGTCTTGGAGGATTTTTCCGGGAATTGAGCTCCTTGAAGATCGTCCCGGGACCCCATCGGGACTGGCCGAAGCCCCATAAGGAGTTCTTTTGGAAAAAGAACCAAAACCAAAACCGAAAGCATCTAGCACGCCAGGCACCCCTGCGATGAATCGACAGGGGGCGGCGGATCGAAGACGCCTACGGCAAATCACTGCCGCCCCCTGCCTTTTTGGAAGCGCCTATGTGGCCGAACGTTGAGGCCAGACCTGCCAAGCTATCGGACCATGTGTTCCCCGAGTCGGTTTGGAAAGCCTTCGGGGAACACGTGGGCATCTTGAAGGTCATCTTGGCCGTCTGGATGCCATTTTGACCCTTTCGGGCCTTCTTGGAGGACGTCTTGGAAGGCTCCTGGGCCGTCTTGGAGGCCATCTTGAGCGTCTTGGAGACCTCTTGGGCGGTCTTGGGGGCCTCTTGGGGCCGTGTCTTGGGCCTCTTGGGCGGTATTTGGGGGCACTTGGGCCGTCTCGGGCCGTCGGAAGGCAGGAAAAACGCAAATGCCACAATCCTTCAAAAACCCATGGGAAATCAATGATTTTGGCCTTTTCGGGCCTTCCTGGGGGCCCTCTTGGAGGCCTCTTGGGCCGTCTTGGGCCATCTTAGGGCCATGTTCGGCCGTCTTGGTGGGCTCCTGGTCCGTCTGACGCCGTCGGAAGCCGTTTGGGGGGCCTACCTGAGCCGACTTATGGCCCTCTTGGAATGCTCCAGGGCCGTCTTGGATGCCATCTTGGGCGAATCCTCCCGGGACCCCGGCGGGACGGGCCGAAGCCCCAGATCGTCCGGCACGCCAGACACCAAAACCAAAACCAAAAGCCATATCGTCCGGCACGCCAGGCACCCCTTTGATAAATCAAAAGGGGCGGCGGATCGAAGACGCCTACGGCGAATCACCGCCGCCCCCTGCCTTTTTGGAAGCGCCTATGTGGCCGAACGTTGAGGCCAGACCTGCCAAGCTATCGGACCACGTGTTCCCCGAATCGGTTTGGAAAGCCTTCGGGGAACACGTGGGCATCTTGAAGGTCATCTTGGCCGTCTTGGAGGCCTCTTGGGCAAGCTTTGGGCGATCTTTGGGGCTTTTTGGGCCGTCTCGGGCCAGCTTCGAGCCAACTTCGGCCATCTTGGTGGGTTCCTGGCACGTCTGAAGCCGTCGGAAGCCGTTTGGGGGGCCTCTATGGGCCGACTTGGGGCCCGCTTGGAATGCTCCAGGGCCGTCTTGGAGGCCATCTTGGGCGTCTGGGAGGCCATCTTGGGCGTGTTGGAGGCCTCTTGGGCCCTCTTGGGGCCCTCTAGGGGCCATCTTGGAGGCCACTTGGGCCATCATGGGGCTCTCTTGGGGGCCTCTTGGGCGATCTTGGGGGCTTCTTGGGCCGTCTTGAGCCGTCGGAGAGCCGAAAAGGCGCAAATGCCAAAATCCTTCAAAAACCAATGGAAAATCAATGATTTTGGCCTCTTCGGACTCTCCTGGAGGACCTCTTGGAGGCCTCTTGGGCCGTCTGGGAGGCCTCTGGGGGGCCTCTTGGGCCGTCTTGGGCCGTCTTGGACTCTCTTGGGCCGTTTTGGAGGCCGTCTTGGACCATCTCGGGCGGACTTGGAGGCCATCTTGGGCCATCTTCGCGATTTTTTGAGGATGTCCCGAGCGAAACGGCCGTTTTTGGGCATTGACAGACGCATTTTGGGAAATTTACGGGTGGCCGGCGGGACGGGCCGAAGCCCACTGGGGAGTTCTTTTAGAAAAAGAACCAAAACCAAAACCTGAATCATCCAGCACGCCGTGCACCCCTGCAAGCAGGGGGCGGCGGATCGAAGACGCCTACGGCGAATCACCGCCGCCCCCTGCCCTTTCGGAAGCGCCGATGCGGCCGACTGCTGTGGCCAGAGGTCTGCCAAGTTATTGGGCCATATGTTCCCCGAATCGGTCTTTACAGCCTTCGGGGAACACGTGGGGGAGGACGGGGAGGAGAGGAGAGATAGGAAGGGGGGGAATGGAGGAGGAGGTGATTTTAACCTATTCGGGCCTTCCTGGAGGGCTCTTGGGCCGTCTTGGAGGCCTTTTGCGGGCCTTTTGGGCCGTCTTAGACCATCTTGAGGCCATCTTAGGCCGTCTTGGGTGCATCTTGGAGCCATCTTACCCGTCTTGGAGGCCATTTTGGCCGTCTTGGAGGCATCTTGGAGGCCATCTTGGGCCATCTTGGCCGTCTTGGAGGCCATCTTGGGCGTCTTGGAGGCCTCTTGGGCCGTCTTGAGGCCCTCTTGGGGCCTTCTTGGGGGCCTCTTGGGCCGTCATGGGGCCATCTTGGAGGCCTCTTGGGTGCTGTTGGGGCGATGTTGGGGACCTCATGGGCCGTCTGGGGCCGTCGGAGAGCTGAAAAGAAGAACATGCCAAAATCCTTCAAAAACCTTAGGAAAATCAATGATTTTAACCTATTCGGGCCTTCCTGGAGGGCGTCTTGGAGGGCTCTTGGGCCGTCTTGGAGGCCTTTTGCCGGCCTTTTGGGCCGTCTTAGACCATCTTGAGGCCATCTTGGACCGTCTTGGGTGCATCTTGGAGCCATCTTACCCGTCTTGGAGGCCATCTTGGCCGTCTTGGAGGCATCTTGGAGGCCATCTTGGGCCATCTTGGCCGTCTTGGAGGCCATCTTGGGCGTCTTGGAGGCCTCTTGGGCCGTCTTGAGGCCCTCTTGGGGCCTTCTTGGGGGCCTCTTGGGCCGTCATGGGGCCATCTTGGAGGCCTCTTGGGTGCTGTTGGGGCGATGTTGGGGACCTCTTGGGCCGTCTTGGGCCGTCGGAGAGCTGAAAAGAAGAACATGCCAAAATCCTTGAAAAACCTAAGGAAAATCAATGATTTTAACCTATTCGGGCCTTCCTGGAGGGCGTCTTGGAGGGCTCTTGGGCCGTCTTGGAGGCCTTTTGCGGGCCTTTTGGGCCGTCTTAGACCATCTTGAGGCCATCTTGGGCCGTCTTGGGTGCATCTTGGAGCCATCTTACCCGTCTTGGAGGCCATCTTGGCCGTCTTGGAAGCATCTTGGAGGCCATCTTGGGCCATCTTGGCCGTCTTGGAGGCCATCTTGGGCCAAGTTGGGGCAACAAAGGCATTGACAGATGGATTTTCGGAAACTTGCGGGTGGCCGGCGGGACGGGCCGAAGCCCACTGGGGAGTTCTTTTAGAAAAAGAACCAAAACCAAAACCTGAAACATCCAGCACGCCGTGCACCCCTGTGGCAAGACCACAGGGGGCGGCGGATCTAGTGGCCTCCGGCCCATCCCGCCACCGTGCCTGGGTGGTGGGTCAGAGGCCTCATGGATGTTGGTTGCCGGGCTCTCGTGGTTGGCCTCTCGGGGGCCTCTGGGAGTCAGTTTGGGGGCCTCTTGGGGGCCGTGTTGGGGCCTCTTGGGGTCTTTTTGGGGTCGTGTTGGGGCTTCTTGGGGTGCCTCTCGGGGGCCCCTTGGGGCCTCTTGGGGGCCTCTCGGGGCCCCCTGGGGGCCTCTTGGGGCTGAAGGCTGGACTTTTCCGTTCCTGGTCCCCTTCTTGGGCCCCTTTTGGGGCCGTCTTGGTGCCCTCTTGGGCCGTCTTGGGGCCTCTTGGGCTCTCTTGGGCCCATCTTGGGGGCGTGTTGGGCCTTCTGGGGACGATGTTGGAGGCCTCTGGGGCAGTTCTGGACGCTGTGAACCCCAAAACGTCGTACATGCGAAAGAAACATACGTTTCTCCGAAGGGAATGGGACGGTCTCTGCTTGTTGGGGCCCTCTTGGAGAGCCTCTTGAGGCTCTCTTGGGGCTTTTTCGCGGCCTCTGGGGCCATCTGGAGACCATCTTGAGCGTCTTGGAACGATCTTTCGGCGACTCAGGGCCCCAAGGGCCGTGTAGGGGGCGCCCTCTTGGCGCGCTCCTGGAGCGCCCTTGTGGGAGTCAGCCGGGCGAGATCGCCCGGGCCTCGGCTGGATTACTTTTTCGTTCAGGGGTCCCCAGGGGCCGCCACGCGCGCGCGAACTCGAAACAAGTGGCACGCGTGCCCTGGCTCTTGCACCTAGCTGCGAGGGACAGGAGGCGGCCGCCTCCTTCCTCCAGGAGTTTTCTTCTGCGGCCAGGGGGGGGAGGACGAACGACGAACGAACGAACGACGACGACGAACGAAAATATGGAGGTCCGAGCTCTGGAGCACAGCTGTGCGAGAGAATATTGTCCGGAGATCTTGGCACGCCCCTGGCTCGCGGCCAGAGCTGCTTCCAGCGCTCGTCCCTTGCACCATGGCTTCGCAGGCCGGCCCCTCGCACGTGCAACCAGCGCGTGGTCTCTGGACGTTCCACATCTGAATCCAGGTCCTCTGCTCCTCCTCCTCCTCCTCCTCCTCCTCCCTCCTCCTCCTCCTCCCTCCTCCTCCTCCTCCTCCTCCTCCTCCTCCTCGCTCCTTCCTCCTCCTCCTCCTCCCTCCTCCTCCTCCTGCTGCTCCTTCTCCTCCTCCTCCTTCCTCCTCGCTCCTTCCTCCTCCTCGCTCCCTCCTCGCTCCTTCCTCCTCCTCCTCCTCCTCCTCCTCCCTCCTCGCTCCTTCCTCCTCCCGCCTCCCTCCTCCGGGCGCAGGTGGTGTGCTCAGGCACAGTGCGCCACCCGCCCAGGCTCGGCCATGATGAAGCGGGCGCGCACATCGCGACGCCGTGTGTCGCATCAGCCTCCCTCCCCACTCCCCTCCGTGAAGAGCAGCAGCCTCTTCCCACTCACCTGCCCGTGCCATGCTGGCCACAGCGTCGGAGTGGGGAAGGTGCCAATCTTGCCGGGCGGAGGGTCAGAGCCGATGCCGCCAGCCCCCCTCTCGCTCTCGGCGAACGTCGGCTCGACGCCTTCTTGCGCCGTCGCGCTAACCTCCCCACCTCCCCCCTCCCTCTTTGGCCACTGCGGGAAGCGGTTGAGCTTGATTGACATGTTGTTCAGGCTGTCGCGTGTCGTGGCGAAGCCCGCTCCAGGCTCCTCAAACCGCCCAGCGTTTTTTTAGTTGTTTACCCTCAATCGCCTGGTCGCCCCCCCCCTTTTTGGGGCACGCAGCAGCCGACCGACATCCTCCCGCCCAGGATGCGCGCCGTGGCGAACCGGTACGTGGACACGGACGATGAGGAGCAGCAGGAGCCGCGGGTGGCCTCTCTGGGCCAGCCGCCTCGGTCAGAGCGCTCCTCGAGGGTCCGTGTAACTAGGCGGTGCTGCGCAGGCCCGCGGCACCTCGGCGCCGTGCTTCTCTCAGCCAGGCTCGCAGAGGCGCCGTTCCCACACCGCAGACTTCATGCAGCAGGTACCCTTGGGCTCCTTGTCTGTTTTCTGTGTCAGCATCGTTGCCCAGATGCCGACCAGCATCTTGTGCTTGCATGAGCAGGTTGTTGCCAGAGAGGGGCGAGCGAGCCTTTCCGTTCCGCAGGGTCTCATCCCATGTCGCTCCATGGACCTGAACAACGACCCACGCTTCTTCAATGACAACGTTCTGGACAAGAGGCGGCTTGACTGCCAAGCGCGCACCATATATGGCCGCAATGTGCGCTGCTGGCAACAGTTCTGTGTGTGAGAGTGTGTGTGTGTGTGTGTGTGTGTCTGTGACCCCCTCTGGCTCAAGCCGTCTCCTGGGGGTGTCCCTCCCTCCGGGGTCAGGGCTCAAGGGCCAGCGCTTCCGCATACACTCTAGCTCCCGTAGGTGGCTGCCCAGCCATGAGCCAGGGTTTAGCGTCCACCATGCAGTGACGGGGGCATGGAGGACGACGAGGAAGGCGCTGGAAGTGCAGGCGACAGAGGCCGAGACAGCTCACTTTCCCAGGTTGAAGATGGTTTTCTGATGTTTCTTTCTGATGCTCTGCCTTCCGGAGGAACGCCCTAACAGCGAAGCTGATGCAGCGGCGGAGCCCCCGTCGGAGGATCAATCCTTCACCGATATGACTCGCTTAAAACGTCAACGTTTTTTTGAACACGCCATTGCGACATGCAATGCACTCCGCCTGCTCGCAGCATGGTTCCTACACGCGTTGAGAACGCGCATCGCCACTGTCACCCGTATTGCCTTCAAGTGTACCCCAATCGTGAATAATGGGCTTGCGTGGACGTGACGGAAGAGGGCGATACGGTTCTTGGAGCAATGGCGGGGACGAGTGTGTGGCGGCAGCCGTCATCCTAATTATGGCGGCAAAGCCGATGGCCTTTCCCTCCCGTGGCTCCTGTCCTGGAGGCAGGAACGCGGCGATGGTCCACAAACCGAGGGCGGCGCACCACCCGTGCCCGATGGTACGGATCTTCCAAGCATTTGGGAGTCCATCTGGGAACGTACTACCGTTCAGCGGGCGCTACAGCTGTACGAGGATGCGGCTGCACTCGGAGTCCTTGTCGTGCGTGTGTGTGTGTGCGTAGTCGGTATCCAACGCTACGCGCGTTCTGCGAAGAGCATCCTACAGAAGCTTGCCGACGCGTGCGACACGAAGTTGAAAAAGGGTCGTCCTGGACAGAAGCAACTATCGGATGCAGTTCCGCATCCAAACGTCCCCAATTGACATCGACACGCTATCAGGGTGCGCTCCCATTGCGTGGGCCTCATCTATTCGTGGCGTTCCAAGGGGTCCTTTGGATCGGACTGGACCAGCAGGCGCTTGAGTCGCCGAGGGGTGGTCGGGCGGGCGCAGCTCATTTGGATGCGGGCAGGACTGAGATGCCAGCGGCGAGTGCTGCACCTTGCCAGAGGACCCCGCCCCACCGATGAGATACATGATATCGCGCCATCACAGGGCATCGTGAACCCTGGCAACTGCGCTAACTGCGGTTGTTGGTTGCACAACAACTGCTTGCTGAGCCCAGTGCCTCGTGTAGAGCTTTGCAATTTCTGCGCGCGTCTCACTGGGGAGCTCCAAAGGGCCCCCGAGATCAGCTAGGCCCCTGCGACGCTCTGGCCGCCTGAGCTTTTTGACGCATTTGACGCGATGCCCATGGGAATCGGGAGTCAGGGGCGGCCAGGGCGGCAGCGGCTCATTGAACTGTCCCATCGAGACGCGGTCAGCACAAGGTCTCTGTGCGACGGGGGGGCGGCTGGCAACGACGCGCTAGACAAACTCGCTGGGTTCCGACGGCAAGACGTGGATGACCTTCTTGAAGAAGCGGCTACCAACGGCCGCTTCCAGGATGCACGGGCTGTCGGGAGCGCCCCTACAAGGGGGGAGCTCATTCAGAACAACGAGGAGTTTGATGCCCTGTCGTATAACATTTGATTTGCCACATCTCATGCTCCGCGGCTGATCGACAGCGGGGGGCGGAACGCGATCGATGTGACCATTCATGCACAGCGGCTCCAGTTATCATTCTTACAGTCAGCAGATGTGCACAACGCTCCGCGCGAGCGGAACTCCAAGAAATGTCAGGTCTCAGTCTGGCTGGGGACGCCGTGGAGGCTGAGGAATCCGATTGGGCAGGAGAGACCCGCCTCGGGCAGATCGGGGCCATTCCGAGGAGTGCGAAGGTCTTAGCGAGTCATCGTCGGCCGTGCCCCCTTCGCTGCCCACTTGCTTCGATGCGTCCGTGACAGGGGGCGCCGGGGCGGTGTGCGCTGACGACGCGCTGCCTGTCGGGCCACTGGCGACGCCCTCCAAGTCTCCGCCCGCCGATTTCACGCGCTGCAGGTTCTGGCCGCGCGGACAGCGGCAGGGCCCGGCGGGCGAGGGGTGCAGCTTTGCGCGACGCGCAGGCAGTTAGGGCGATTTGGCAGGGGGCATCATGACGAGGATTTCTTTTCCACCTTTGAGTGCCGAGTGCAAGCGGACGAACGTCCGCGCGTCGCTCTCGCGCGACGACGGGCGAGAAGTTTCTTGGTCCGCTTTCCAGTGGAACCGGGTCCAGGCTCGTAGGTCGCGGCCGCGGTTTGGCGACGCCTAGATCGGCTGAGCGCGATCCTGCGTGGACTGAAGCTACAATCGTAGTGGGCGCCCCGCCCGGCGCCGACGCGTGTGTGGGCGGGGCCGGCGGGCGCCGCCGGCGTGCGCGAAGCCCCTTCTTCCAGGGGGGCCTCGAGCCATAGTTGAGATCCAGGCGACGCTGCGCGCGCCCATATTTGATCGATGCGAGGAGAGCAGGATAATCCCAGAGTGGGCCACGCGGCCACGCGCAGGCATCCGCGGCGAATTATTTGCCCCGACCCCTGTCTTGTGGCAAAACCTCGCAGTTTGCGCGGCGTTTGTCTGGAGGCGCGCGTGCGCCCTGGGCTCGAACGCTGGCGCGCCTCCTCTGGGTCGGCTGCAACTCGCCAAACTAATTGTTTATTTGCATGGAGCTAGGGCTTATCATTCTGCTGGGGGGCGCGGGGCGGGAACGGTGGCGCCCCGGCGCGATTGCGGGCGCGGCGAGCGGCGTGGAACGAGTTCGGGGATAAATATTTACACGTGGTTTTCCGTCGCATTGCCTCGCGAGAGGCTGCTCGGGGGCGCGCCGAGGCGCGACGTGTCTCGACGCGTGGGCGTTCGCAGGTCTGTGGGCCAAGGGTTTCTATGGTTTGGGGGTCATTTTTTAGTTCCCTTGGGCTTGGAAAAGTCATCCCCGAACCGTTCGGGACGCGTCGGCTCGAGGGTGAGTGCAGACAATTTGGGTGGCTTCCATCTCGGCGACTTCCCCCTGTGAGGTTGCTGCGCGGGCTGTTCCCCCCCCGTCGGATCAGCCTGGTCGCTCGTGTTATTTGTTGCTCGCCTGCGCGGTAACTGTTCCAAACTACGGCGGACGAGCCCTTTGGCCCAGCGCTCGCGCCCATGCATTGCCTCTTGGATGAATCGATCTCGCATTGCCAGATTTCGGCCGCAATGCCCGTTGCCAGGACATGTAGTCATGGAGAGGTATCTCAACTCAGGTCAGTCGTTGGTGCTCTGTCATGGGTTACCCGGCATTGCAAGCCAGAACTATCCCATCGCGCGAGTCGACCACATATTGGGGTGAACCGCGCAGAGGTGCTCCATTTCAAAGAAGCGAATCGTGTTCTGGAAGAGGCATTGCAGTCTTCAGACTGGCCTCGTGTTTAAGGGAGGTGCAGTCAAGTGGGGCGAGGAAACTATAGCGCTTGCAATTGCCGACGCCAGCTGGGCAGGAGAGACCGACGTCGTTAAAGGTCAGCTTGAGCCACTCAGATCACAGAGGGCTAGATTTAATGGTCTGGCCGGACGCAGGTTTGTCGAGGGGAACAGTGATCATGTTCATCCTATATGTCTGTCGAGTGAGGTTAGCAGGCGCGTATGCAAATCTACCTTTCAGGCGGAGACTGTGGCATTTTTTTTGGGTGTAGAATCGGGCGCGCGCATCCGTGCTGCCATCGCTGACGCTCGCGGCATGCTTTGTGCCGGGCACAAGCTTCCTTCCGATTGGGAAGAGATCCTTGCGATGTTTACGAGGCATCTGTGGATGACATATTGCAAAAGCCTGGGAGAGTATTTGAATGCGCCAACGTTGGGTGAAGTGGAAGACAACCGCTTGAGTATGGATCTCAGTAGTTTGCGCCGAGAGATATGGGCCCGTGGGCAAG